GACTCGATAACGAGTCATAAACCAATGCCAAATACTACCAAAATAGGGTTCCATAAGCATACATAAGCATTAGAGGAAACCAGAAAAATCCGGAAATGGAGTTAAGCGTTAACCCAAAAAAAATAGTTTTTGACATTATTTTGCGGTTTTGATACCAATGACACTTCGATTATCGGGTGAAGGTGCAAGATACACCGTTTCGAAGCTAAACGATAGGGTTACAATATTACAGAAGGTCACTCAGCCCAGTTTCGAGTGTAACTAGGTCAAAAATGCAATATACTACACTAGAACCGCAAAAACAGGTTCACAAATCGCATTCTGGTGCAAACATCATAAATCAGGCTACCTAAGTTCAAATCCAGTAATTCCAAAGCCATCCGAAAGCTAAGAAATAGGGCTACAATTCATCAGAAGACCTCAACAACCAATTCTGAAGCATTCTCAACCAAAATAACCAATTACAGACGCAACTATCAAATTCGGGTAAAACCAGGACAGCAAGGGTAATTCCATCTTTTCACAAGTTACGCTACTCCGATTGACCTGAAATTTTGCAGACATCTCTAAAATATCATTCCCTAGAACTTTCATGTTTTAACCCAAGGCCAATTCAGCCTCTAACTATGAGGTACAGTGTCAGACAGAATGAAGAACAATGAAACCCTAACTTTCCAATTCTCTTTCCAAAACAGAAATTAGTTGCAATTAACCACTTTTTCCACCTTCTAGCTTCCTTAAATATCATTTTCAATCATCATACATGACCACATAATCATATTCATATGAAAACAGAAAAATCCCCAATAATTATAAAACTTCACCAATTCAACCAAAAATCAAGATATAATCCATAAAATTGCATCTTATACCACCACCAATCATGAATTAAATATCATTAGAGGGAGGAGAGGGGTCCTTCACTACTCACCTTAGCAAAACAAGAGAGAGAACAACTAGTCACCTTAGCTTTCCAAACAACTTCACCAATCACCTCACCAACACTAAGTGAAGAGGTTTTATGGGACAAAAGCAAGTTTAAGTGGTTGTTTTGATGGATTTGAGCTAAATGGAAGCAAGAACTTGGAGAGTTTTCTTTCTTTTGCTTAGAGAGAGAGAGAGAGAAAGAGAGAGAGAGAGCTGGCCACAATAGCTAAGAATGAAGATGATTTTTGGTAATTTTTGGTTTATTTAGTCAAATGGTAAAACAAGAAATAATAGTCGAAAGGTAAACCCAATCCCTAAGTGACACTTGTCACTTCCATAAATGCATCCCCATCTCTTTGTTTCCTCTCACACCAATCCAAATAGCAACCTCTACTTATCTCTTAGCACCCGATAATTTAAACCCAGTATCCAAAACTTAACCTAGTTGGCCAAATTTTTCCGAACTTTTCGCCTTAGTGGGTCCCACGTCCGGTATACGCTCTTAATTTCCCAAAAACTATTCGATACTAAAAAAATCACCTAAAAACTCTATTTACTCATAAAATTTATCTAGAAATTTTTTCTAATCACGAAAATGCAGAAAACAAGCCATGAAAAATAATAAAACCTAGAAAATGGAAAAAAAATACGGGTTCTCACATTTTCCCATTTTCTTTGTTTTATTATGTTATAGCCTTTCTTTTGAGTTATATTTTTCTTTGATCATTTATTCATTTGGATTCTCTTGGTTTCTATTTCACATTAGTAATGGATTTGGAGATAAAAGTCAGCTCCAGGGCTGCTAAGTTTTTCTTCTTTTTTTTTTTTTCAAGATTTCATGGCTAAAGCAGTTGTAACATTTATGGTTAGAGAATTAGATAGGAATAGATAGAAAGATAGATATCTACAGAAAATAATTGGTAAATTTGATCTTCAATAGTATTATAAAAAGATGGAACTCTTGCACAATTTTTTATTCATAATGCACGTATTGCTTTTGTGTGTTTAACCACAAAAAGACTAAAAAGTTGATCTAATATATCTAATATTATAATGTAAACATAGTACTACTTAAAAACATATCCACAGTTTAAATATATCTCTGTCCCTATTTTTTGATCGCTCTATAAAATCTTTTGCAATTAGAGTTTTGGAGTTTGGGCTGTATATCTCTAATCCCTAACAAAAAATGGGGAAGTTGAGTTTGTGAATAGTGATTCATGGCCCCTTGTGGACACCATAAGTAGGCGAGTGTTTTGGTCAATTTGGAAGGGGTTTTAGACTTTAGCATTGGTTAGTGGTTGTTTTTTGGACTATTGGAATTGGACTGAGAACGGTTTGCTTCTTTCTTTGTTTTGACCATAATGTCCTGACTTTCAAGTGTTGTTTTACAATGAGGCCCCTGTGTTCTTTTTTATGTCCTTACTAACGGTGAAATGGATTGGATAAGCTGGTGTGATTTTCAGGTCTTTTTGCATTCCACTGCTGGACTTAGGAAAATTGGCTTCTTGTTATTGGTAGCATGTAGATGTACAGCCAATAAATGATGTTCATATATTACAACTTTAATTACTTTATTCGTTAACACACTTGTGAATACAATTAGACCATTGATATTACTTACATGAATAGTTTTATTGAAAACTTACCCTGCAACTGTTGGTTACAGATATTATTAGTCTTTTTACTTACTTCAACTCATGTTATGAGGGTTTGTTTGCCTTCATTTCTTACTGTTTCGTAATGATTTTAACGTCTTTTATTACCTTATTTTTATGAAACTTAACTAAAATTTTTACCCTCATTATTGACATCAGGCACGTTTTTTACTAGCTAATAGAATATGTTCTTTTATGAACTCTGCTTAATTCAAATGCATCAAAATTTTTTCTGTTTGTTAATTGAATCAGAGTTCTTTATCCTTAATAAGATATACCTTATATCTACCTACTGTTTCAGCTTTGGCTCCCAATTGTGATTCCTACACTTAGTACACCAATGGATGCCAGATCAATAGTTATATTTATTGGATTTTTCTAACGGGTGCCCACAGGGCACTCGTTAATATACCTAACATTCATCTAATTTATCATGTAGATGCACATACTAACAATTATTACCCTCTTTTGCGCTTTTATATTTTTTTTCTATTTAATCTTACCTACCATCTCTTATACTTATTTATTTTTTCCTAATTAATTTTACACTTTCAAAAAATAACACTTGAAATATATCTTAAGAATGCCCTATGAGCTACCCTTAGACAGACCCATATTTATTTGGAATACTCTTTTTATTAATGAAATCAGACAGATAGCACAATACATTCATCTATGTAAATGGTTACTTCTCTTCTTTTCTGTATTGCTGATTGTTTCCTTAAATTTCCATGATTACTCTTCTATTTTGAAATTTTTTTATTTCCCATATACGTGCACTGCCAATCATGTTTTTAAACTCGGATTGGATCGGTCGATCCAACTGATCAAATTGGAAATCAGTCAAGTATCCGGTCCGAGTTAACTTAAAAACTCGAATTGATAAAAACTCGGTCAAATTAGGTTAAAAACCAGGTTTGACTGGAAAAACCAAAAGAACGGGTAAAACCGGGCACGGGGCATAGGGCAAAAGGCTACAGATGTAGGGGCGCATGTGCTCTTGTTGATTGAAGTGACGTGCGGTTGATAGGCCATTTGACGCTAGCAATTCATGCTCACATTGCAAACTATGGGCCTGTTTGGCACCCAAGTTTTTTACCAAGTTTTTTAGCTATTAGTTTTTTAACAACTTTTGCTACAGGAACCCCAAAAAAACTTTTCAAAGTTTTTTACTTACACATTTCAAAATTACACAAAAAATTTCCCAAAAACTTTTCTTCCTCCCTCACCCAACCACCACACGAGCCACCACCCCCACCACCCCTTCCGGCGCCGGTAACCTCAAAAAAAATTTTTCTGTCCACCACCCTCCCCTCTTCCCCTCTCCCTCCTCCGCCACCCTCCCCCTCTCTGCTCTGCGATCTGGTCTGGTCGCGCGACCAGACCAGATCGCAGAGTAGAGAGGGGGAGGGTGGCGGAGAAGGGAGAGAGAAAGAGGGGAGGGAGAGAAAAGCTAAAAAAAAAATAATGCACAGCTGCCGGCCAGATCGCGTGAGAGGAAAGGGGAAGGGGAGGGGTAGCGGGGGAAAGGGAAAATGAGAGGGAAGGGTCCCGACCAAATCGCGTCGGGGGAGAGGGAGGGTGGCTGGGGAGGGGAGGAAAGAGGAGGGGAGAGGCGGCGGGGGAAGGAAGGGGAAGGGGAGGGGCGGCGGACCAGATTGCGTCGAGGGAGAGGGAGGGTGCTGGGGAGGGGAGGAAAGGGGAGGGGAGGGGCGGCGACCAGATCGCGTCGGGAGAGGGAGGGGAGGCGGGGGGGAGAGGCGGGAGGGAGGGGAGGGAGGGGGAGAGGGAGGGAGAAGGGAACAGAAAAAAAGCAAAAAAAAAAAAAAAGGAATCACCTGGAAGTCTGCCATGGAAGTCTCGGGAGAAGGAACAGGGGAGGGAGAAGGGGAAGAAAGGGAGGAAGGAAAAGAAAAAAGAAAGAAAGAAAAAAAAAGAAAAGGAAAAGGAAAAAATGAAAAGGAAAAAAAAATTCATCTTACAAACACCCCAAAATTTTTCTTACAAAGGTTTTTGGGAGAATTGTAATTTTGGTCCCCAATCTATAGTGTATGCGCGGAATTATCCCCAATCTATTTCGAAAATCAATCTTGGTCCCCAATCTATTCAATTTTGCTCTAAAGTGGACAATTGACGGAATCTCTTCAATTTCAATTGGAACTAAATCACATGAAATCACGTGCCGGCACCTAAAACCCTTTTTTCAATTTTTTTAATTTCTAAAACATGTTTTTTTAAATATTTGCAGCTTTTTCTTGCCTTTTGTCTTATTAAACAAAGACATGAAAGAGGTAATCTCACAATCCAAATTACTCCTCTTGTTGGCCGCCGATTTCAAATCCCCAAAACCCACAGCACGAGTAAGAAGCTCAGCTTGGCCTCCAAGTCCAAGTCTCGTTCTTGCCTCCATTAGTAATGGAGATAATCTGCAATCAACGCCAGAGACGGATCCAGTTCAACTCTCCTGCACAAACAACAGGAGTAGCAGCAGTACTAGTTCATAAGCAAGCAAGCAAGCAGCGCGAGAGAGAAGAGCAGATGATAATAATTGGAAATCAAAGGGATTATACGAACCAAATCATCAAAGGGATTATACTAGTAAGTATATTCTTTCCCTATTAGCCATTCTTCACCGTTGAACTGGAATGAGCATTCAATTGAACCACTAGTATATTATTGGTAGGTCATGCTTACGGTTGGAACAGACACTTCATCGATGACTATAGAATGGGCCTTGTCTCTTTTGCTCAACCATCCCGAGGTGCTAGAGAAAGCTCGAGCTGAATTGAATGCTCAAGTAGGGACTGATCGATTGGTCGACAAACATGATCTATCCAATCTTCCTTATCTTCATAACATTATTTCAGAAACACTTCGGTTGTACCCAGCAGCACCAATGCTAGTGCCACATGAGTCGTTCGATGACTGTAAAATTGGGGGATACAATATTCCGCGAGGCACAATTTTGCTAGTTAATGCATGGGCAGTTCACAGGGACCCAAACGTTTGGGATGATCCAACGAGCTTCAAGCCAGAGAGATTCGAAGGCTTGCAGGTTCAGCCATCAAAGCTGATTTCATTTGGGATAGGAAGGAGATCTTGCCTTGGTTCTGGCCCAGCACAGCGGGTCGTGAGTTTGGCCTTGGGATCTCTAATTCAGAGTTTTGATTGGAAAAGAATTGGTGAGGAGGAGATTGATCTGGCTGAAGGGACAAGAGTGTCCATGCCAAAAGCCAAGCCACTAGAAAAAACGTGTTTTAGAAATTAAAAAATTGAAAAAGGGGTTTTAGGTGCCGGCACGTGATCTCACGTGACTTAGTTCCGATTGAAATTGAAAAGATTCCATCAATTGTCCACTTTAGTGCAAAATTGAATAGATTGGGGACCAAAATTGATTTTCGAAATAGATTGGGGATAATTCCACGCATACACTATAGATTGGGGACCAAAATTACAATTCTCCCAAAGTTTTTCTACAACTTCTACAGTGATCTACAGTAAAGTTTTATACAAACACCCAAAAAATTCACCTTCCAAACTAATGTTTTGGCTAGTCTTTGTAGGAGTAACGTGGTCCTACAACTACTTTGATAAGCGTCACCTTTCAAATTATGTTTTGAATGACTCGGGATCAACGCATTTTCAATATTATGTTTTGACATCTAGGTTATTCAAAATTATTAATATGCCTCAAATATTTCATACTTTATAAATATTATCCTAAAATTTGGTGTTATTTTTCAATCAAATCCATAATTTTATTTTTAAACTTGTTAATGTTCATTGAATAATAAAAATTGCTACTTGATCATTCTAATTTCTTTATATTTTCTTGTTAAATACATTTGAAACATCAAATATATATGAATATATCTTTATTAATATTAATATGCTCTTAGGTATTTTACATACAATATTTTAATTTTTAAATATTTTTATATATGATACCATCCGGTTCAACCTTCGATTAAATCTAATCTAATCCATTGACCCATGATCTCTAACCTTAACCGAGTCAATATCCGGTCCGAATCTGAAAACATAGACAGCCAGTCGACATCTTTGCGTGGGCAACCTCAGGCGAAGCACGAGGCCCATCTCCAACTAGTCTTTTGAAAAACTTGGGCAGCCATGACTCTCTCGCCCCTTAGTTCTGTCTATTTTTGACCATCTGTGTCTATAACAAGAACCTGAATTAGACTACTTAATTCCTAGTGAAGACGAAAAATAAATATCGAAAAGTTCGAATAAGCTCCCGCGTGAATGGTCCAGCGGCAGCACCTCCCCCTGGTGAACCTCTAGGTCCCAGGTTCGAGTCCCTGCGCTGCTGGATTCCTCCGCGCACTTACCGTGCTTGGGTCGGGTTGGGGCGCCAAGGCCCGGGCCACAGGGGATTAGTCGGGCCCCGTAAGGATTGACCCGGACACCCCTGTGTCGACAAAAAAAAAAAGAATAATGCTTGCCTAACTCCTATCGATTAATATTTAATTTCTCTCTTTACGCTTTTTAAATCTTACCATTTCCCTACTAAAAAAAGGTGATAAACTTCATTAATATATTTTTAGGTGTGCATATCTTCTCAAGGTTATCCCACTATAGTTTTTTGATATAGAACAAGTTGCTGGGAAGGTTTTGGACAAAATGTAGCAGGCCAAAGAGAGAGCAAACGGAAGTTGCACGGCCACGACTTCAGAGGAAGTCCGAATATCAGCGCCAGACTTCCCTTCAGAGGAGGACCGACGCCAACAGTGGCATCGGACTTCATCAGTGTAGCATTTTGTTTTTCTTTTCTTATTTTTTTTCGTTTTCTGCCTTTTGTTGAAATTTTGTTTTCTTGAATCGCTCCTTTGTTATTTTCGGAAAAAGCTCGTGAAACCATTCCCTCTACCTGCTTCCGCATTATTTTTTCTATCCCATGTTTTGACTATTTAAAAGAAGAAAAAAAAGAAAGAAAACGTCATATTGCTCTATGATTTAGTGAACAAAGTTAGGGGAAAAAAAAAAAGAACAGTCTTGTATATCATTTTCCACGCAAGACTATTATACTCCCCAAAAGGGAACAAGAAAAAAAAATGGAAAGAAAATAAACTTCAAGGTTGACTTCAATGCAACCAGCTACAATCATTTTATGGCATTTGTTTGCGGAGAAAATTCCAAATTTATGATGAATTTTAAAAAATTTCTGCAAAGGGGGCAATTTGAGAATGCAATTCCGTCCACCCAGAAAGCCAAAAAAAAAAAAAAAAAAGCTAACATTGACCTCGCATTCGGAAATGCGAGGTTAGTGACTTGTAAAAAAAATTTATGATGAATTGTAAAAAAAATTTATGGCTTGTAAAAATTCCAAATTTATGATGAATTTTAAAAAAATTCTGCAAAGGGGGCAGTTTGAGAATACAATTCCTTCCACCCAGAAAGCCAAAAAAAAAAAGAGTTAACATTGACCTCGCATTTGGAAAATGCGAGGTTGGTGACTTGTAAAAAAAAAGTTTACTTAGTTGGAGCTCTAATAAATTTTTTTTTATGTTATAGCTATCATGATATGAAAAATATTTGTTCTGTCAGAGGAAATAAATATTTTTTAAATATTTATTGTAACTGCAATCATTTTGCTCTTTTTGGCCACTTCGCATATTGTCATTTACTAAATGCGAGCTCTTAAAAAAGTTAAAGTAAAATAATATTTGTTTTCTTCTAGCGAGCTTCTACAAAATTAAATTTAAAAAAGATTTGTTTTCTTAGAGTACTAAACGTGAGCTTCTAGAGAATTAAATTTCGCACAATATTTGTTTTGCAGATCTCTCATTTACTAAAAGCAATCTTTAGTAAAATCTTATTTTTAAAAAAATAATTGTTTAGGCATTCATTGAGTGCGAGGAGTAAATATTTTGGATCTTGCATTTGATAAATGCAAATTCATAGAAAACTACATTAAAAAATGCGGCTGGAAGAAGAAGATGAAGAAGAAAACTAAGAAGGGAATTCACGTTTTAAACCTTCGTACAATAGACACAATACGCAACTTCACAAAATGCGACTTGAAGTCGCGTTTTCTCCACTTACGTTGCTGAGTCGCGTTTTCTTCACTTTCCTTGCTAAGTAGCAATTAGCATGGAAATCGAGGCTAATTTGGTTTTGGGCTTAGTCTTGATTGATTATTTTATCTGCAAGGACTATATTCTGATTTTGAATAATTAAATTTTGTAGTGTTGTCGTACAACTTTTTATGTTCAAATTATAGATTTTTTTCACAAATCTATAATTAAAAAGAAAAAGGATTTATTCCTCTATGTAAATGTCAATTCGAAAACAAAAATGATTATGAGCTCCTAAATAAAAAAAAGCAATTTTTTAATGTAGTTTTCTATGAATTCGCATTTATCAAATGCGAGATCCAAAATATTTGCTCCTCCCACTCATGAATGCCTAAACAATTATTTTTAAAAAAATAAGACTTTACTAAAGATTGCTTTTAGTAAATGAGAGATCTGCAAAACAAATATTGTGCGAAATTTAATTCTCTAAGAGCTCGCGTTTAGTACTCTAAGAAAACAAATCTTTTTAAATTTAATTTTGTAGAAGCTCGTTAGGAGAAAACAAATATTATTTTACTTTAACTTTTTTAGGAGCTCGCATTTAGTAAATGACAATATGCGAAGTGGTAAAAAAGAGCAAAATGATCGCAGTTACAATAAATATTTAAAAAATATTTATTTTCTCTAATAGAACAAATATTTTTCGTATCATGATAGCTGTAACATAAAAAAAAATATTTTTTTAGAGCTCCAACTAAGCAAATTTTTTTTTTACAAGTCACTAACCTTGCATTTCTGAAATGCGAGGTCAATGTTAAATTTTTTTTTTTTGGCTTTCTGGGTGTAAAAATGCGAAATGACTTTGGAGCTCGCATTTGCTGAATGCGAAGACCTCTTGGACCGAATTGCATTCTCAAACTGCCCCCTTTGCAAAAATTTTTTAAATTTCATCATAAATTTGGAATTTTCTCTTGTTTGCGCTCTCTCTCTCTCTCTCTCTCTCTCTCTCTCTATATATATATATATATATATATATAAGTTTTTTAGATCTTCTGAAATAAAAGTCAGCCAGGGCCGATAAACTATCTTTTTCTCCTTTTGCCTTTCTCTTTTTGTTGATCATAACAAAAAATAATAATAATAATAAATGGAGACAAAAATATGAAATGTGATTGTTTCCTTAACAACAATAATCAAGCTACTATAACATGTCGTAACAATAATAGGTAGGAGACTTAATCCTAAACAAAATAAATAAAAGTTCGGACATTTAATAAGATAAAAATAGATAGAAAAAAATAGATATCCACATAAAAAATTTGATAGAATTGATCCTAGGGCCATCATAATAAATATTTCAGCCCACTTCACCAGTGGCTTAAAGGTACTTATTATAGGCAGAGAACCCTTAAAAGAATACAACTTTATGGAGTAGACGGAAGTTTTCACCACTATAGTATGTTGTAGGATATGATAATCCGTGATAGTATCTTCTAGAAAATGATAATCCATGCTTTGTGAGGAATACCTCTATAAAAGCTGCACTTCACTGTCTCATGCAGCCAACTCATGGTCCATCATCAGAAAATTTTCTAATTTGTTGATCGAAGTGTCTGCAAACTAAGGAAGGCCTCATGAAATGTGTAAAAAAAAATTTCATGTTTTTTGCGTATGATGAACTGGAACACCTGAGTTATCCATGGACTTGCTATTGTAGAAAGCTTGAACCATTGATCAAGGGCAAAAGAAATGAAAGAAAGCATTGAGAAAAAAAAAACTATCATTATAACTGCCACTTCAAGGGCAAAAGTCAGAAATATACATCTATGCATTAAGATTTCATAGTGTAACAAGACATCAAAGAAAGAATGAATGAAATAACCAAAAAAAAAAGAAAAAAAGAGTCTTGGACCCTCTCTATATGGTAAATACTACCAAAATATACTAGTGTTGGTTGTCATTGTCCTTGCATGGCCGAACCGCTCCCTAAATACTTGCTGGCCATACTTTTAAGCTTAATGACCAGGTCCTCTAGGGCTAGGTCCAGAAGCCAACCTTTCAAGCCAATGCGACATCGTGTCTCTTGCTTTTGCATAGACCGAAGGAAATTTATCCAAGTGATTGGCACCTGCGAAGTCTTCCTCTGTCAACAACCTCGCTGCCTCCACATGAACTTGGCCCATGATGGCAACAAAAATGACAAAAACCAGTACAAGAATTGCTGCTTTTCTGC